CGGAAATGGCCGCACTCCTCCGGGGTCAGCAGTTCGGCCAGACGGACGGCTGCGTGAGGGCCCATAGCGTCCACGGCCCCTGCCGGAGCCCACGCCCAAACCCAGAGCGCCAGGACGAAGGCGCCCGCCGGAGTCCGCGCCTCCATCCCTAGCGGGAACCAGGAACCGAGGACTGTGTAGGGACGGGGACGGGCTCCGAGCGCCCCCGGTGAGCGGTGGGGGAGGGGTTCCGAACGCCCGCGGATTGTGGGAGGGAGGAGGCTCCGAACACCCGGGAAGCCAAGTGGAGGAGGGCATTAGGGACGAGGGGGCTGCCAACACCCAGCGACGGAGACAGGGACTCAGACATGGCACTTGTTGGAGGGTCTCACGAACTGGGATAAGAGGACTTGCAACCCAGGAAGGGGGTTCTCAGCCCCCCAGGAGGCTAGGATTCTGGGCCTTTACATTGTAGCTCCTGCCCTAGGCCTCCTAGTACCCACTAATACCTCAAACTGAACAAGTTACCAACATCTCTTCTAATTCATGTACTCCCTAACCCCTCCCCTCTTTACCAGAATCCCTAGACCCCTTGCTCTCCATTAACCTCGATATTCAATCAATTCCTATATTCTCTTTTTTTCTTTTCTTTTTGTGCAGATGGGGGTCTTGCTATGTTGCCCAGGCTGGTCTCCAACTCCAGCCTCCGCCTCTGCCACCACCTCCCAAAGTGCTGGGATTACAGGAATGAGCCACCATGCCTGGCCTCAATTCCTAAATTCTCTTTTTGTCTACCAAATACTAACGTTTAGTATTTATTAAATGAATCCATCATCCCACTCCGCCACTCCGGTGCGAGTCCAAACCCTCCTCCTCTCTTGCTAGTCCTCCAGCCCCCATCACTGCCCCCATCACTGCCCCCACACACTGGGGCCCTGCCTACCTGCACTTACTCCATTTCCCCCAAGGAAGCTTGGCTCTGGCTCTCCTGATCGCGGCCTGCACTCCTCCTGCTGTCAGGCGCCTTTGGGAAGCCCTCCCTGACTCTGAGTCACACCCCTTAGTGGTGTCCCCATTAGGGACTCCTCCTGTCTGCCCCACAGCACACTGCAGCTGGGCCTGTGTACTGTCTCCCCCACTAGACTGCAAGGTCCATACATTGTCCCCATGGCAACTAGAGCATAATAAAGTGTTCAGTAAAGATTTGTTGAGTCAATGTGTGTACTTTTTGTTTTTTTAAGAGACAGGGTCTCCCTCTGTTGCCCAGGCTGGTCTCAAACTCCTGGGCTCAAGGGATCCTCCTGCTTCAGCCTCCCAATGTACAAGGATTACAGGCATGAGCCACCATGCGGGGCCATTGTGTGAATTCTTAACTTGCAAATCAGTGCTGTCTTCAGCCCCCTAAACTCCCACAAAGGCTTCATCATGGAGCCCCAGCTCCTAACAGGGCAAGGAAGGCCCTCCATGGTGAGGTCCCTGCTGACTCCTCCAGCCTCACTCCTCCGATTCCTGCCCTCACTATCTTGTAACACATCAAGGCTCGTGGCACAGCACGTAAGATACAGTTTCCAGCCTCCATACTTTGCCCAACTATCCCCCTCCCCTCCCATGTAGGAAGTTTTCCTGATACCCCACCAAGACCACCACAAGTCAGGATCTTTTCTGGATGTTCTTTCTGTTTGTGTTTTGTTTTGTTTTGTTTTGAATCAGAGTCTCCCTCTGTCACCCAAGCTGGAGTGCAGCGGCATGATCTTCGCGCACTGCAACCTCTGCCTCCCAGGTTCAAGTAATTCTTGTGCCTCAACCTCCCAAGTAGCTTGGACTACAGGCACACACCACCACGCCCAGCTAATTTTTGTATTTTTAGTAGAGACTGGGTTTCACCATGTTGGCCAGGCTGGTCTCGAACTCCTGACCTTAAGTGATCCATCCACCCTGGCCTCCCAAAGTACTGTGATTACAGACATAAGCCACCATGCCCCCAGCCATTTTTTGGCATTCTTAAGATAACCTGTGCATCCTCCACCAGGGCACTCATCTGGAAATTAGAGGACTTATTCAACAAACATCTATTCAATGTCTTCTGTGTACCAGATAATTGCACTAGGCGTATGAATATAAAGGCTAATTTGATGTAGTCCCTCACCCCCAGTAGCTTTATCCAGTTGCATTTTTAAATGATCAATTTCTGAGCTTTTCCCACCTAGACATGGGCTCCAAGAATAGCAGCTGTGCTTGACCCCTTCTGTATCCTCAGTGCCAGGCCCAATGTTGCACACAGTAAGGTGCAAAATAGAGGAGTGGGGCCAGGTGGGTCTGGACCTCCAAGGGCTGAGAGGCTTGTGGTAATGGACTCTGGGGCAGTGCCTTAGAGCCCCCACCTCCAGGCACACTCACATTCGTGTCCTCTTTGCTTTGCAGGGTCTCCCTGGTGCTCACTCTGCCTCCTGTATGTGTGCAGTGAGCCACAGCAGGGAGCCCGGGTGCACCACTCCCCTGTGCTCTTGCGCACGCTCAACAGTCTTGCCTAGAGTATTCAAGGACCTAGGAGTTGTGGGTCCAAATCCCTCATGGGCATCTCTACAGAGCTTTTTCAGCAAGTGTTTCTTCCTAGGTTGTTTAGTCTCCCAGTTTATGATGAGCTGTCACAGATAGAGTTAGGGGACTGATGGATGGGGGGATGGTAGACAAAGGACACCACGTGACCTGAAACACTGGAACTCGGCCGTCTCCACACCCTGCCCTCCGCCCACTTTACCTCCACTGAGAACGGAATACAAGTATAACCCTAGCTCTATTCAATGAAGGCTGCTGCAGGTTCTGGATGGCCCCTCCCTCTCTTCAGCACCCCCCTTCCTCCATGCATTCATTCGTTCACTCATTCAACAAACATGTGAGCCCTTCCTTGCCCCCCTATTTTGTGGCTCTGGGGATACGATGAGCCTGCCCCAGAGTTGTGTGTCAGAGCTCAGAACGGCAGGAAGGCCCCTTACCCATGGCTTCTCCCCCATAGCCTCAGTGCCCATTCCCGTAGGTACTCGCTGTATCACAGTGAGTCACAGGAGTCTTTGCTTCTTGTTACTAAGGGACTAGGAACACCCTGCCCAGAGCACCGGCAGACCTGGGTGTCCAGACATCTCCCAGAGGGCTCCCACATCCCACTGCTCCCAAGAAATCTTCTGCAAACCACATGTCATCGCTTTAATACTGTGTAATACTTTCTTTTAAAATACAGTCTCTTCTGAGGTAGACAGACCACAACTGCAGAGCATCGTCAGACAGGAGCTAAATACGTCCATGTACAACACGCAGCAAAATGAGGTAGAAATGGTTACAGTGGGAGGAGAGGATCCCAGTCCCAGTCTGGGTAGAGGAAGGGGAGAGGCCAGCTCGGAAGTCACCCTCCCCACTCCCTGCCCCTGGATTCTTTGGTATGCCTCCCCCCCAACATTACCAGAGCTGGACCGGCCCTTCCCCTACCCACCCCAGAGCCCATGAGGTAGGTGCCACTAGGCTGGGGGCAGTCTCCTTGTGCAAAGCTCCCCAAGCCTGGGGAACAGGAGCCTAGTAGAGGAAGCAGTGGGGACTCCACCTCTCAGAGCTCCCTGCCTCTTGAAGGGAAGGCTGGGATCCCACCCCAACTTCCCTGACACCCTCCATCCCCCCACCCCCCTATACATACACACCTGAGAGAGAACCCCTCACTCCATGCTCCCTCCGAGGGTCTTTTGCAGCCTGCAGCTGTGACCCTGCAGCCCACTGCTTCTGAGGCACCAAAGCCCTGCGGGCGGCTGGCTCCAAAGAGGGGGTCAGAAAGCGACAGGGGGTCGGGGGGAAGCAGAGCAGCCTTCCGGTCAGCACTCCTAGGCCAGCACAGGCCCTGGGTGCCAGGGCCCCTGAAAGGTCCCCCACAGACACCCTTCCAGCCAGGAGGGGAGGCAGTAGACTCTAGGAAATGCACGGGCAGGCAGGGAACTGGAAGGGAGACTGAGGTGGGAGAGAGAAAAAGTGGTGGGGCGGGGCGTGCCCCCTGCTTTGGACAAAGATCAGAGTTATGAAATGGGCTGGGGGTGGTGGGGAGCAAACTGCTAAAGCCTCATCAAGGTAAAATTGGTGGGAAGGAGAGAAATATGGTTCTCGGTAGGGTTCCAAACCTAGTGGAAAGTTCGGGCAGGACTGAGACTAAGCCCCCAAGGTCAGAGAAAACACCCCTGCCCATCTCCCTCACCCTCTCCCAGCCCTGGAGCTCCAGACCTAGGACTCCGGGGGAAGGGGGGAGACACATTTTCTCACAGAGCCCCCCAAATAAGGGATGCTCACTCCTTCTCAGAGCCTCCAGCAGAGCAGGCTGAGGTCCAGTAGCTGATTTTGTGGCCAGACTGTCTACCCAGATGGAATCCTCCCCAGTCACCGGGGACTTCTGCCAAGGCAGGGCCAGGGGACATGACCTTTCTGGAGACTTTATGCTTAGGTCACCTTCCCATTTGGGCCCTCCCAGCCTACTTTCTGGGTCTCGAGAACGAATTGGGCAAGGGCAGCCTAACTCTGGATAGCCCTTCACAGAAAACACTCAGCGGAGGGGTTGGGTGGGGCAAGGGGTGGGGAGCGGCAGGAGAGAAATAAAGCCTCCCCTCTCTCAAACCCCACATTCATGCCTAGGCCTCAGACCCTGGGGAGGAAGCCCTTAGGAATACATTCTGCTTCTGACCAGGATTAGCTGGGGTTTCACTGAGGCCTCTGAATCTTCCTCTCCCCTTCCCCATAAGTCTCATTTTTTGAGTGTCTGGGAGAATGTGCTCCCCTGGATGGAGTGGGAGGGTTGGGGTGGGGGAGAACAGGTGTGAGGGGCACACAGGAGAGCAGCCAAAGTCTAACATTCTTTCTGAGGTCAGTTTCTTCCTGAGTTGTCAAAAGAAAAACAGCAAATTCTACACATTTTACAAAAATAAGCCTAAAATATGAAACAAGCTACATTTCTGGGATCTCCCCTCAAAAACAAACAAAAACTCCCCTTCTTTAGGGTTTTTTTCCTTGATCCCCCTAGACCCTAGGTTTCAGATGGGTACAGGGGTAACCCTCCTCCCCTCCTCCTCAGCCCATGGGCCTCCAGAGCTCCTGCAAAGAGCCACTGCAGTCCAAGTAAGAACAGAAGGCATGGAGAGGCATTAAAGCTCAGGGACCAAAAGGCGAGGGACGCTGGAAAGCCAGGGATGGAGACAGAAGCGCAGAGGGTGAGGGAGGGAGAGCTGGGGAGGGAGGGGCAGGAGAGAAACAGGGCCAGCATTGGGGGGAGGGCTGTCAGCGACAAAGCAAAAGGGAGAGAAAACCAAGAGAATGCAGAGAATGGGATGGAGATAGTGAGGGAGAAGGAGGGTGCCATTCAGATAGCGAGGAGACAAAAGCGTTGTGGCAAGAGAGCAGGAGTTCCTAAGGCCCCGGGTGCCAGCCCATGCCGGATCTGCCCGGTCCGCCGGGCGGAGATGGCGAGCTTCCAGTCCACAATAAATAGGAAAAACCTGAGTACACGGCGCATATGGCATCTATCTGCCTGGCAGAAGCATTTTCCTTACCACGAAAAAAAAAAAAAATCCACCAGCAGACCCCCTCCTGACCTCCATCCCACATTCACCACTCTGGCCCCTGCCAGCCGGATTTAGTCAGCGACATCCCTCCCACGCGGAGGCGGCGGGGACGGAGGGACGGCGGCTCCCGCGGCCTCCACCGCGCGCCGTCAGTGTCCGGAGCCGTACATTTTGTCCCACTCCACGAACGAGTCCAGTTCCTTGGCGGAGGCCCTAGGGCCCATTTTGGACAGCGCTGCCTCCAAGTCCTTGTAGGAGAGGGGGCGCTGCAGCCCCGGGAGGCCCGCCCCGGCCGCCGCCTGCTGGCACAGCTGCCCTAGCTCGCCCCCAGAGAAGCCCTGCGTGCCCTGCACCAGCGCCGCTAGTTCCCGCTCACTGAGCGCGCAGCCCTGCTGGGCCAGCGCCCGCTGCAGGATCTGCCCGCGGGCCGGACTGTCTGGCAGCGCCACGTAGAAGCGGAGAGAGAAGCGCCGGCGGGTCGCCTCGTCTAGAGCCGCGGGCCGCGAGGTGGTGCCCACAACCAGCACGCCGTCAGCCCCCGCGCCGCAGCCCCCGTCCAGGCAAGCTAGGAGCGGCACCTGCAGCGCGCCCCCTGCCGCCGCGCTGTCGTCCCGGGAGGGAAGCAGCGCATCCAGCTCGCTGATGAGGAGTACGGAGGGTGGGCGGCAGCGCGCGGCCGCGAAAGCAGCCTGGAGGAGGCGCGCGCCCTCGGCGGCGCCGGGCGCAGCTAGGGTCGCGCCGCGCAGGCGCAACAGCGTAGCACCCAGCTGCGTGGCGAGGCAGCGGCCCAGCAGCGCTTTGCCCGAGCCCCTCGGCCCGAAGAGCAGGACGGTCCGCGGCGGGCGCAGGCTGCCGGGATAGGCGGGTGGCCTGAGTAGGGGCCACACCAACTCCTCCTCCAGCGCCGCCTTGAGCGCACCCTGGCCCGCCACATCCGCCCACTGTACCGGGGGCCCGCAGTCCACCATCTTGCTCGTCACCAGCTCCAGGGCCCCGGGGTCCACGCCTTTGGGAGGCTCCCCCGACGGCACGGCGAACCCCCTACGAGGAGCCGGGGTCCGCTCCGGGAACTTTTCAAAGGGCTCCAGTTGCGGGCCGTAGACGGGGGAGCCCAGGACCTTGAGGGGGACGCCGGCACCGTACTTGCCTGACGCCTCCACCGCGGCTCCCGGCGGCTTGGCAGGGAACCCGTTGCCCCGACACTCGCCGTTGTCGGCGGCGGGGTAGGAGGCCCCGTCAGCCGCGGGGGCCTTGGGCTCGTACGCGTACTTGCGGTAGCGGCCCTCGGGCCCCTCGTCGGCGGCCTTGCGCTTCAGCGACAGCCCGGACTCGGCACCCGGCGCGGCCGTGGGGAAGCCATAGGCTGTGGGCGGCGCCGGCGCTGGCAGGGGCGTGGGCGCGGGCAAGCCCGGGGTCAGGTAGGGGGCCGGGGGTGGGCCTGGGGGCGGTGGGAGCGCGCCGTAGCCGGGTTGCGCCGCGTAGCCCCCTGCGGGATAGTTGTACAGCGGCGCTGAGGGCCCGTACCCGGGCGGCGGCGGGGGCTGCAGAAGCGCGGCCGGGGGCGGCGGGGGCAGCGCAGCACCCGTCTGCGCGCAGTAACCCGGCGCCAGGTACCCCCCGCCGTAGCCCGCCGCGTACTCGGGCGCCGCCGACGGGCCCCCGCACGCATTGCCGGCGTAGAGGGGTTCAGGGAGGTTCCCGGCTAAAACTGGGGAGCCGCCTAGGGCCCCGGAACTGCCCCCACCGCCCGACTTGGTTCCTGGGAGGCCCTCGTGGAGTGAGGCCAAAGGGTAGGGTGGCTCCGGCCCTGGCCAGGGCTCGGGGTCCCCTTTGGCGCCGTTGAGGAATGAGGCGTCGCTGTACCCGCCCAGGGCCGGACGCTCGTAGGGTGAGTCCAAGACCCCAGAGTATTTCTCTGCATAGCGCTTTAGGAGGTTGGAGGCAGTGAGGGCGGAGATGTCGTCGTGTGCCCAAGCGTAGTGGCAGCGTTGGCGACCCCCAGGGGGCAACTCCAACTTGTGGGCCGGCGACGGGGTGGTGGAGGAGACATCCAGGTGCTGCTCTGGCCACTGGTTGAGGGGCTGGGCGTGTTCCGGTGTCCAGTGCATCTTCAACAGAGCTGCGGGCAAGAAATAGGAGGGCTGGTGAGGTCTAGCCACCGAGGACCCAGCGGGCCACTGCTAGCCATAGACAGTCCTCCTAGACTGCGGCTTGGACAGGCTGGGCTTCCGGCATCCACCACCTACCGCCCCACTGTCCTGGGGCCCTCCCTCCAGGCACCAAATAAACTCCTTATGTCTCAGGATTAAAGTTGTCTGAAAATGTTTTCCTCAGCGCCCAAAGGGGTGTGGAAACGATGTGGCTCGCCCTCACTTCACCTTGTAGGCAATGGTCATTATTTTTGTCCTGGCCACTCCAGCCATGTCCTCTGTAGGACACGTGATCCTTACTTTCTAATGAAGGATCGGACAATGGGTGGGACACCCCAGCCCTCGGAATAGTCACATTCAAGTGAAGCTCGCTCGGTAAGAGATGTTTGTCACCCACCATGTGCTGGCCACTACAGAGGCACCAGGGTTACGTAAAGAGATTTATGAGGCCTGCCCAGAGTCCGTGGCCTAGTGACCCAGAAGTTTGTTATTCCTAAGTGCTCTGTTCACCTCAGCCTTTCCTGAGATTCCAAGGCCCCTTCTGGGCCTGAGGTCAGAGATGCTGTCGTGTGTGGCACTGCCTTATCCATGGGAAACCTCAGTGGCTGACCCAGAGCATTCATTTCCTTCCCACTTGGTTTTGGCTTCTGCCTGATGAAGTGAGAGCACGTGGATCCCAGACCCAGCTGCATGTAATGGCTGTGTGCCTGGGGCAGGTGCTGCTACCTGCTTTATTCCCAATAGGTCTCACCACAGTACAAAAATATATAGAACAAATAGGTCATATGCTGGAGAAAACGGGGGAAAGTTATTACACAACAATGCACATCATAGGATGTGGACCATAAATTTGTCTCTGAGCTTCCCAGTAGCCAAATAGGGAGAGGTAATCAGACTCACTGCAAAGTAAAAAAAACACTATTACTCAAAGCAAAAGTGTTCCTGTCTTAGAGATCATAGAACTTTTTTTCGTAGTCCTCAGGAAGACCTGTGAGATGTAATAAACAATGTCCTTCTTGCCATCCATGCTGTAAACACAGCAGAGATGTTCCATGGCTGTTCCTGACACTGTCCCTTAGCACCTCCCAGCATGAGCCAAACACTCTGTTAAAGGGGATCCGGGGGCTTGCGGAATGGCTCTACCCAGGCACAGGGCTCCTGTGGGCCAGCCTGATAAAATATCTCAAAGACTAAGAGGCCCATGGCACACCCAGTGACAGCTGATGCCGATGATGATTTCTCAAAACTAAGCTTCTGATAAGTTTCTTAGCAGGTTCACATATTCTCATAGGTTCAGTATTCTTTCTTTAATGGATTTTTATGGAGCAAATCCCAAATGTTTTGCTAGGCATGGGGGAAGATTGAAAGGTGAACAGGATGGTTCAGCCAGGTAGAGAAGACAGGTAGGTAGACAATGGCCTCTGTGAAGTGAGAAAATAGAGGTATGTGCCAACGGCACTGGGGCTCAGGGCAACTTCCCAAGGAGGCGGTGCCTTTGCTGGACCATGAAAAGTGAGGGATCAAGTCGACCAGACAGGCTAAAGTGAGCAGGGCATCCCAGATCCCAAGAACAGCACCTTCAAAGGTGCAGGGTGCAGTGCCTTCAGAAAGCCAGGGCTGTGCTAGCTCACGTGCCATATTCCCTTCCTCAAGGCACTTTACTGCCACCTTCTGGAAAGCTCATAAATTTAGTGTCTGCTGCACTAGAATTGTGAATTGTGCCCTGTTGGAAGTAAAGCTGTTGTGCACAACCTACATAACCATACACTTCGAGTCCGTAGAGAACACCAAGAAATGTTGGGTCACTAGAGCTTTGAAAGTGGGTGTACATAGTAGAAGAGGAAGGTGAAGATAACCACAGCTGGCCTTCCTAGCAGCAGCTTGTTGACAGCACCTCACCCCTGTTGATGCTGTTTACTTAATGTGGCTGTGACTGACATCAATGGGAGAAGACATTTGAAAATAAAGCTATTTACTATCATCCCCACTGCCCTAGGGAAGGCATGAGCCATAGAAGTATAGCTTAAAAAAGAAGGTAAGTGAGTTCTCGAGGTTGTCCTGCCCCCATTTGAGAGGTGATGCTGGCCGCTGGGCAGAAGGGAGAACAGAGACTAACAGAGCTGAGTGTGAGGTCCTTGGGGGCAGATATGCAGCCCTCCAGCTCTTGCTGAGAAGTATCTCCAAAGATCAGAGGCATTACCTCGTATGAAAGAGGGTAATTTCCTGGAACATCAAAAATCACAAATTGTTCTGGCTGCAGAGTCTTAGGAGGTAACATCAAAGTTATTGGCTGGGCTCAGTGGCTCATGCCTGTAATCCCAGCACTTTGGGAGGCCGAGGCTGATGGATCCCCTGAGGTCAGAAGTTGAAGACCAGCCTGGCCAACATGGTGAAACCCCATCTGTACTAAAAATACAAAAATTAGCCGGGTGTAATGGTGGGCACCTGTAATCCCAGCTACTCAGGATGCTGAGGCAGGAGAATCTCTTGAACCCGGGAGGCAGAGGTTGCAGTAGATGGCACCACTGCACTCCAGCTTGGGCGACAAGGGCGAGACGCTGCCTCAAAATGAACAAACGTTACACAAATGCAAGTATTGTGTAAATCTGGTTTTGTTTTTTTTTTTTTCTATTTACTATTTTCTGTGCCTTGTTTCCTTACTTAATATGGAAAGAGAGATTTGACCTTGATAGCATTTACCCTGAGCATATTAAACTGGACAAGCTGGGGAAAGAGTGACATCCTCCCCACCAAGGGCACAGACACCATGAAGAAGGCTGAGATCTGGACTTGTCCACACACATCTCCTTTGCCACTGCCAGCCCCTGTGCTCCTAAAGCTATCAGTGATGCCCCTCATTCCCTAGACTTTTGGACCAGGCTCCCTCTCACCAGCCCCTGGCCTGGCCTTCAGCAATCCTCACTGAAACCTCCACCCGCCAGTGAAGATCCTCTGGCCCTGGCCATCACTGAGAACTGCTCCACCTTGGAAACTGGACTCCAGTAAGCCACCTCCAATCCTCCACCCCATCCTCCCAGTTTCATACCCACGATGTCTCCTCTACTCCACGGCTCATCCCCTCTCGCCCTTCCAGAGAGGGGACCTTGTCCGTGACACTTACCTAGACCACCTGATCTCTATCCTCAATCTTCAGATACTGGCCCTTCCACTCCAGGTAAATTTCCTCCCATTTTAGCCAGGGCAAAAAATGAAGTCATTGGGTAAATCTCCCTTACCTCTAGCCCTCTTTTTATGTTTATCTACATCTGTATCCATCTTGCACCCAGAAGGCCTCAGGGTCCCTCTGCCCCAGTGCTTGGCCCCATCAATTATCCCTCCTAGGTACTGGGTCCCTCCCCACAGTTAGCTTAATTCGTTCTCATCTTCAAAATGACCTCTCTTGACCATGGGTTCCCCACTAGCTACCAGCTCATCCCTTTTTCCCTTCTTCATCCTTCTTTAAGGCATCATTGTCTACATGCAGTGACATGGCATCTGCTAGAGATCCTTTCAATAATCTAACAGGGGGCCAGGTATGGTGGCTTACGCCTGTAATCCCAGCACTTTTCAAGGCTGAGGCGGGTGGATCACCTGAGGTCAGGAGTTCAAGACCAGCCTAGCCAACATAGTGACACCGCATCTCTACTAAAAAGAAAAAAAAAAAAAATTAGCCAGGCGTGGTGGCAGGCGCCTGTAATCCCAGCTACTTGGGAGGCTGAGGCAGGAGAATCACTTGAACCTGGGTAGAGGTTGCAATGAGCTGAGATTGTGCCATTGCACTCCAGCCTGGGTGAGAAGAGCGAAACTCCATCTCAAAAAAAAATATATATATATATATATCTCCGGGAAGCAGGGCACCAGGTCAGCAACTTCTGCTAAACTTAGTTCCGTAGTGCTACATTTTCCTTTAACCCCTTCCTAGAGAAAGAACTCAGCTGCCCAAGGACCAGCCCCAACCTAAGGGCAGGAAGAGGGCAGAAGTTTGAGAACAGTGGGTAAGGTTGCCTTACCTGCACACAGGCTCAGAATGATGTCTCACGTGAGTCTGAATACACACCAGCATGCATGTGCACACCACCAGGGATGTGTACAGATGTGTGCAGCTGCAGGCACATGTGCATTATGTTCATGCCTGTGCCTGGCACACACATGTTTAAAGTGCGATCTCACTTAGATGCTTCCTGACAGACCCAGGCCTGCCAGGCCTTGCCTTCCTCCCCTCGCCCACTATAGGTGGAAAATGCTGCCTCCCTGCCCTCGCCCCCCAGGCCAGTTACAGCCCTCTTGCTGTGACACAGAGATCCTGGGCCGGCTACCAGTATGCCTCCCTCAGGAGCCTCAGGAAGGATCTCCCCAGGACGGGGACCCCCTGTCTCCTGTCCAGATTCACAAGTCACACTCCAGTGATCAGTGCTGCTGGAGGGGAGGAAAGGCCTTGAGGACATGGGGAAAGTATAGGCTTTGAGTCCCAGAGACCTAATTTGAATCCAGTCCCAGACACACACTGTGTGACCCTGGGCAAGTTGTCTGACCTCAGTGAACCTCAATTTCCCCATTTGTATTTGTATTTTTTTTTTTTTTAAAGTAGAGGCAGGGTTTTGCCATGTTGGCCAGGCTGGTCTCAAACTCCTCAAGTGATCTGTCTGCCTCAGCCTCCCAAAGTGCTGGGATTACAGGGTGAGCCACTGTGCCCAGCCAATTTCTCCGTTTGTTAAAGGGCATAACATATGTCATTCTGAGTGGCTGTGAGGATTTAAAGATAATGTATATAATGGACACAGTCCAGTGTGGGGCACAGATTACAAATTCAGAACCCAAGCAGTGCTTCAACTTTGCTGAGTGAACTAAACAAGTAACTTCTCCTTGGGTCGGGGGAAAGTTGGTGAATGTTCTGTGAAAAGAGGTTCGTTCCAGTTCTAATATGATGGGCCAGTAGCTCATGCCATTTCCCCAAAACCCAGGCAATAGGTACAGAACCTGTTCTATGTTTTATATCTCTAATGCAGCCCTCCTACCAGCTCTGAGATCAATACTGTTATTGTCATCCCCAGTCTACAGATGAGGAGACTGAGGTACAGAGATTAACGCATCTTCAGGGTCACATGGCTGTTACAGAGTGGAGATAGGACTCAAAGCCCAGGCCCTGAACCACTTGCCTACAAGGGCTCTCTGGCCCAGCCCTTTGTTCTGACAGCCAGAGAAGAGCCTGAGGCCATTCCACACTGCACACCTACACTCACCAACACTCACTTCCTGGGCCTGTGGAAACAGTGGCTGCGCCCCCAAGTGCTGTGTATTTACCTTGCAGACCAGACAGGAGAATTTGTGTCCTCTCCCGGTAAAACGCCCAAGTAGAGCCTCTCTTTCCCTGTGAAAGGCCATCAGATAACCAGACACACCCCTGGGCTGGGCACAAAGTTCCTTATTTGGGTTTTGTGGCTTTCTCAGGTGGTAGCTGGGACTCTGCACAGAGAAAACACTCTCTCTCTGAAACTGCCCGGTTTGGGGAGCACAGTCTTGTTCCTGAGGCAACTGTTTCTCTGCAGACCTTGAAGGTGAAGCGCTGCTGTGCACATAGGAAGCTGAAACCCCGCTTGACTCTACCAACAGGACGCAGTCCTTCAAACTCACAGGCAATCAATAGTTACAGAAAGAATTACTGGATGGGAGAGTAAAGTCATTCCTAAAACCCCTCCCCTCATTTTTAGGGAGTCTTACAAGGTTCATGAGAGATGATTCAGCCTTCACAGCCGGCCAGAACACTCAGGCACCGATCTTCCCTCTGGTCCTGCTGCCCACGGGTCCTGTGGGTGCCTCTCCCATCCCTGAGGACCGCAAGCTCTCCATGCACAGGGCCCGATGCAGGCAGTAGGTATCCCCCCAGCCCACCCTGGCTTCCTGGGGCAGCAAACACCCTGAGCTGTCACTCTCTGATTATGGCCAAGACACTTAACCTCACTAAGCTCCACTTTCTTCATCTGTCCATTGAGACCATTGGTTTAGATCGGTAGACCTCTAATCTTCCTTTCTCATTAGAAACACTGAAATAAATTTTGTACAGGGTGAGGTAGGAGGAAACCCCAACCCCACAGCATCAACACCCTCCTCCAACCCCCGAAGGAGACCCCTAAGATTCCTTCGGGATCTTCCAGAAATTCTCTGATTCTGGATTCCGTCACCCATGGGGGTGGGAAGGGATTGGACCAAACTGGGCTGGGGGCAGGGTAGGCAAGGAGGGGCAGCTGTGAGTCAGCTCCAGGCTGGTGTGGAGAAGGGGCCATGCCTCTGGGCAAGCCTCCTCTGAGCTCCATTATCTCAGCCTGGAACAAAGAGGCTGGAAGGGAGAATCCCATTGTTGGCCTCCCTTATGGAAATCTCATTAATCTATTCACCAAGGCTCCCACAGGCCTTTTGTCCCAGGCTTTTTGTCTACTGCTTACAACGGGTGCCCCAGGGGGTCTCTGGCTGCCTGGCAGAGCTTGAACAGGACTGTGCCCCTCCTCTAGGCCCTCTTCCTCATGCCAACCCCCCAGTTACTGCAAGGGGAGAGGAGAGGGAGGGGTAACGAGGGGACTCTGGAAGACTGGTCACCTGTCACAGCCCTGGCACCTACCATACAGGAACCTCTTCCCCCAGTTCTGGGCCAGAGAACAGCCTTCAAAACCTGCCTGGGGGCTGCCCTAGAGCTCACAAGGGGCCTAGCATGAGTAGGACTCAACACATGTTTAGGGATGAGCCAGAGGATGCCATGGGGTGGCTGCATGATTCTTCCTTCCATGATACCTTTGCTGTGCCAGCCACTGTGTGCCAGCTATGACTCCCAGCTTGAGAGGCAAACCAGACCACATTGGGACCCATGCCTGCAGACTTGATCAGCTAACAGGGAAGAGAAAATAAAGTGTTTCCTCAGAAAGGAGGGAGGGAGGGAAGGAAAGAGAGGAAAAAAGGAAGGAGGGAAGGGAGAAAAGGAACGGAGGGAGGGAGGAAGGGAGGGAGAGAGGGAAGAGAAGAGAGGAAAAAAGGAATGAAAGAGAATGGGAGGGAGGAAGGAAGAAAAAAGAGGATTGGTCAAAAGACAAAATTTCAGGAGGAATAGGTTCAAGAGATCTATTGTTCAATATGGTGACTAGAGTTAATAAAAGTGTATTGTATACTTGAAGATTACTGAGAGTAGGCCTGGTGCGGTGGCTCATGCCTGTAATCCTGGCACTTTGGGAGGCCGAGGGAGGCGGATCACCTGAGGTCGGGAGTTTGAGACCAGCCTGGCCAACATGGTGAAACTCCATCTCTACTAAAAATACAAAAATTAGCTGGGTGTAGTGGCGGGTGCCTGTAATTCTAGCTACTTGAGAGGTTGAGGCAGGAGAATCGCTTGAACCCGGAAGGTGGAGGTTGCAATAAGCTGAGATCGTGCCACTGCACTCCAGCCTGGGCAACAGAGCCAGACTCCATCTCAAAAAAAAAAGAAAGAAAAAGAAAGAAAGAAAAAAAGAAAATTACTGAGAGTAGATTTTAGGTGTTCTCACCACAAATAAGTATAGGAGGGAATGCATATGTTAATTAGCTCAATGTAGCCATTCCACAATGGATACATATTTCGAAACATCATTTTGTATACCATAAATATACCCATTTTTATTTTAAAAAGTAAATTTTAAAATAAAAATATTGTATTACCCTTTTTTTTTTGAGACAGAGTCTCACGCTGTCATGTGGGCTGGACTGCAGTGGTGTAATCTCAGCTCACTGCAGCCTCCCCCTCCCAGGTTCAAGCGATTCTCCTGCCTCAGCCTCCTGAGTAGCTGGGATTACAGGCGCCCACCACCACGCCCAGCTGACTTTTTGTATTTTTAGTAGAGATGGGGTTTCACCATGTTGGCCAGGCTGGTCTCAAACTCCTGACCTCGTGATTCGCCCGCCTTGGCCTCCCAAAGTGCTGGGATTACAGGTGTGAGCCACCGTGCCCAGCCTACCCTCTTTTTTTTTTTGAGACAGAGTCTCATTCTGTTGCCCAGGCTGGAGTGCAGTGGCGTGATCACAGCTCACCACAGCCTCAACTTCCCAGGCTCAAGCGATCCTCCCACCTCAGCCTCCTTAGTAGTTGGGACCACAGGTGCCAGGTACATGCCACCGAGCCTGGCTAATGTTTGTGTTTGTTTGTTTGTTTGCTTGCTTGCTTTTGTAGAGACAGAGTTTCACCATGTTGTTCAGATTGGCCTCAAACTCCGGGGATCAGGCAGCCTACCCCCTTCAGCCTCCCAAAGTGATTACAGGCGTGAGCACCAACCCCAGCCTGTATTACCCTTAAAACAGAGACAACTGTTGATTTTCTGTGCAAATGAAGAATTACAGGAATAAATATAGTTGACAGATTTTTTTAAAAAAATAAGGTGATATAGCTAAAAAAGAAAAAAGAGGAAAAGAAAGTGTGCAGGAGGTTCAGAGACAGCTGAGGTACTGTTCGCTGGGGAGTCAGGAATTCATTTTGCAGCAGTCATGGAGAGCACCACGGCATGGAGGAGACAGCAGGTCCCAGCTAAGAGGTTCCAGGAGAAAGCAAGGAAAGTGCAGAGCTGAGCAGGGAGCGCTGGCACCCACTCCCCACAGCACCTCAGTTAAGCAGGTATTATTTGCAGATAAAACAGTGCCAGACAGATGTGGCTGGCCCCAGCTCACACAATCCTCTGCAGGCGAAGCTGGGACCTGAAAGCAGATCTCCTCCCACTTCCACAAGCTGTGGAAAGGCAAGGATACAAGGCAGGGAGCACCCCCCTGAGCGGGGCATGAGAGCCGAACACTCTCCTTCCCTGTCCCTAAGCTCACTCCTTGGTGGGAGAGGGGATAGAACAGAGGATGAACAGAGGATAGGTGAGCTGTCTTAAGTCTCCTCCCTCTTGTGCACTGATCCCACCCTCTTTCAACAAAGACACTGTTCCCTCAGTTCCCCCTTCTCCTGCCTGATCCATTTCCATCTCTGCTGGGTCATTCTCATCAGCTCGCAAATATGCTGTTATAGTTCCCGTTTTAGGAAAAAAAGCCCAAAATATATATACATTTTTGAGACAAGGTCTTGCTCTGTTGCCCAGGCTACAGTGCAGTAGTGTGCCCATAGCTCACTGCAGCCTCCACCTCCCAGGCTCAAGCATTCCTCCCACCCCAGTCTCTTGAGCAGCTGGGACTACAGGCACATGCCACCACACCTAGCTAATTTTTTATTTTATTTTATTTTATTTATTTTGAGACAGAGTTTTGCTCTGATGCCCAGACTGGAATGCAGTGTCACGATCTTGGCTCACCGCAACTTCTGCCTCCTGGATTTAAGTGATTCTCCTGCCTCAGCGTCCTGAGTAGCTGGGATTACAGGTGCCCACCACCACACCCAGCTAATTTTGGCATTTTCAGTAGAGACATGGTTTCTCCACGTTAGCCAGGCTAGTCTTGAACTCCTGACCTCAGGTGATCCACCTGCCTTAGCCTCCCAGAGTGCTGTGATTACAGGCATATGCCACTGTGCCTGGCCCCAAAATAATTTCTGAATCCCCCTTCAGCTACATTCTCTCTCTGCTTGCTTTTACCTTTTCTACGCTACTATTTCCGATTCCTGTCCTTCCATTCGCTCTTGAACCCCTTCCAAGCAGGCATTTATCCCCAACTCTCCACTACCTTAGCCTCATAACCACACAGCTGAATCTGATGCTCTGCCCTCCTGTTGCAAAACCAGGGCCCTGTGCTCTCCTGGCTCCTGCTGCCCTCCCCTCCACAGCCTATTTGCTGCCCTCTCATCACCCACTCCCTTCTAAACCCTGCAGACCTAGGGCTCAGTCCTGCGACCTTCTCTTCCCTCTCCATGGTAATTCCTTGCATGATCCCATCCCATCTCCTGGCTTTCACCATCACCTGTGTATTGATGTTTCCTAAACATAGTTCTCCAGCTGAGATTTCTCCCCTGCACTCTGTACTTTATTCAGCCTTCTTCCTGACACCTCCACTGGAATATTTAATTGGCATAATTAACATGTCCAAAAATGAAACTCCTGGCTCCCACATCCACAACCTAGCCCTCCTCAGTCTTCCCCATTGCAGGAGATGGCAGCTGCATCCTTTCTAGTTGCTCAGGCCAGAAACTGCGATATCCTTAACTTCTCTTTCACTCTTCAGAACAGCAAATCAGATTCTTCAATCACTTCTCACCACCTCCAGGGATGCTGTCACCTGGACCACAGCAGCTGCCTCTCTCTCTTTTTTTTTGTTTTGTTTTTCGAGACAGGGTCTCACTTTGCTGCCCAGACTGGAGTGCAGTGGTATGATCATAGCTCACTGCAGCCTCGACCTCCGGGGCTCAAGCGTCTTCCTACCTCAGCCTCCCAAGTAGTTGGGACCACAGGTGTGGTGGGCCACCACACCCGGCTAAATTTTTAAATTTTTTTGTAGAGATGAGGGGCTCACTGTGTTGCCCAGGCTGGTCTTGAACTCCTGGGCTCAAGCAGTCCTCCCTCCTTGGCCTCCAAAGGGCTGGGATTCCAGGCGTGAGCCACCATGTCCGGCCTCACTTCCATCTCACTTCCCCCTTTCTACATTGTCCTCTCTTTTCTTAAAACAGTTGCCAGTGTAACTCTTGAAAGCATATTCCATAAGTCGTTCTTCCACCAAAAACTTCCCGTGATTCCCATCTGACTCAGAATAAAAGCCAAAGTCCTCTCATTGGTATACAGGGTCCTCATGGTCAGCTTCCATTACCTCTCGGCCTCACCTGCTACCACTGCCCTTCCTCCCTCCCTTCCACACCTGGCCTCCTCGCCGCTCCTCCCACCAAGCTGCCTCCCACCTCAGCACCCCTGCCTCTGCCCTGCCTGGAACACACCTTCCCTGGGCTCACACCCTTCCTAGCGTCAGGTCTCTGCTCAGCTGTTGCCTTGGCAGACACTGTCCCCTTCAACCTGATGTTCCCTGCAACACTCATCCATCAGATTATGGAACAACAGGTTGAAGGGGCCAATCCTATTTGTTGCTTTATTGTTTGTGTACCCACTAGAAAGTTCATGAGAGTGGGGACTTTGTTTTGTTCACTGTTATATCCCAAGCACCTAGGACAGTGCCTGGCACAGAGTAAGTTCTCAATAGACTACAGGATGGATGGACAGACAGATGGACAGATGGATGGATGGATGAATGAATGGACAGATGGATGGATGGATGGATGGATGGATGGATGGATGGATGGATGGATGGATGGATGGATGGACAGACAGACGGATGGATGGATCGATGGATGGATGAGCCCAGAGTCTTGAAATGGCCTCTGTGTCCAAATAAAGAAAGCAATCGGGGTGACTAAATTTGAGTCCACATGTGATGGTGAGGGTGGCAAGGGGTGAAGCCAGGGAATCACCTCAGGAATGGATAGGGGAGGGGAGTCCAGAAGGGGAGTTTGTATCTGTGAACACCAGAGGAAAGTGTCCAGTCCCCGAAGGCACCTAACACAGCCCCACAGAGACTCCACATGGCCTCCTTCTCTTTAAATCTCTCTCCTTCTGTTACCCCCACCCCATTGGGCCTCTGTGGGAGAGGACAAAAGGGGTGCTGGAATTCCCATCAAAGGCCTCTGGACACATGGTAAAGAGATCAGGGCCCTCGGGATCCTGCTTCCTGGAGGTGTGGATGCTGCCCCGCCAGTCTGACTCCTCTCTGGGGTGGGAGGTGTGGTGAGGGGTATGCTCTGGCCCTGGTCTCCTCGTATGTCAAATGCCACACAGCAGGAGGTCGGCCTGGGAGAAGCTGGCCAAGTGGCCCCCATCTGGGTTCTGTGTGCGCGTGCACACGCTGGCGGGAGGGGACAGCACAGAAATCCCTGCCTGTGTCCACGGTCAGGGCCACAGCCAAGCTGTGACCATCTGTTGTTGTTCTGAGAGGCCAGGCCAGGGGCCCAGCACCCCTGAGGAATAAACT